GTTACTACCTCCGGGGTCAGGAGGGTGATAGCGGCTGGCCTTGTCTGGCACCGCCTGCTCCTCCACCTCCTCGTCTCTGTTCCGACAAGGACGATGATGGGTGTCTCGAGCCCCCAACTCCACAACCGGGAGGGAGGGGTGTGAATGGACTGCCCTACCCCCCAGGATGTAGTCCAGGTTTTCATAGTAGGGGCAGGTGTGGGGTTCTGCCCCGGAGCAGGAATTGCCCGCCCTGGCATATGCCTGGTGGAGCTCTTTCACCTTCATCTGCACCTACTCCTGGGTGTGTATATGTCCTTTGTTGGACAGGCTCTTGGCCCTGTGATCATAGACATCCACATTCCTACATTTGGTGTGGAGATCCTGGATGTTTGCTTCCTCTCCCTAGACCTCAGTGAGGTCCAGGATCTCCACACCAGACCAGGAAAGTGCACTCCTCTTCTGGCTCCTGGCAGGCTCCTGGGAATTGTCCCTGGCAGCAGTGAAGGGCTGGGTGGGAGCAAAGGAGTCACTCATTTGCCAAGTTCTGAGGCAATGGCAGCTGCATGTCCTCCTGCTTGCCACAAGCCTTTTCTTCTGAGGCTGCAGCTTTAAGGGATCCAGGCAGGGGCGGCCCGTGACTTATAGGCCAACTCAGCCGTTGCCTAGGGTGCCACGTTCAATCGCGCCCGATCATGATGTCATGGGGCGCCTGGGGCACCTGATCATGATGTCACCCCATTGATGGCCCATTTACAGCTGCGCGTTCCGCCTGAGGTGCCAGCTGCCACAGCCCGCCTCGGTCTGCTCCTGGATCCAGGAGAAAGGGGGAATATAGAGTTTGGCTGAGTGTGGACACAGCAGCCAGCAGGGCACCTTGGGAAGGGCTGGAGGCCCCTTATTTTGAAATACCTGCAGCTGCCCTGCTTACACAGCCCCTATTTTGAAATAACTATTTTGGAAGACGCATTATTCTTCGTGGAATGAGGTTTACAGATTTCGGAATAAGCCACCCATTATTTCGATATTACCGTATTTTAGCAAATATAGCCCGCGGGTTATATTAGTTTTTAAACTCCCCCTCCCCCTGCAGGGTATACTCGGGTGCGGGGTATACAAAATGTTTTTTACTCACCTGGGGGTGAGTGCGGCTGTGCAGGAACCAGGCGGTAAGTGTTTCCCCTGCTGGGAGGCTTGGCCTCCAAAAGCTACTGGGGGGGTGAGTTCTCCCCTGCCCGGATCAGGCTCACAGGCAGGCATCATGGAGCACAGTGCCCGGCAGACCATGCAGCACATGCCTCAGAAAATGCCCCCCCCCTTCCCAGATGAGTCTTTTGCCGGGCTGGGGCTGAGAGCCGCAAACACCTTTGCCCCCACAGAGAGCCGGGGCCAGATTGAACAGCCCGTGGCTGAACAACGAGGGGAAACTTACAAGGGTAGGGGGAGGGAAGGCGCAGCCCAGTAACTTTTTCCCAGCGTGGCTCTCCCAGAAGTGGAGGCAGGGGGCAAAGCCTGCCTGGGAGCCCGGCTCACTCGCTGGGAACGCTCCAGAGCCGGGGCAGAGGAATCCCCAGTATCCCCAGCAGAGGCTCAAGGTGGGAGACTCCCAGCCCGGGCTGACAAAGGGAAGGAAGTTGCGGGACATGGTTCGGGACAACAAGTCGGATCGCTTCAAACCGCCCGTGCCCCCTAGCAACCTCCCCCTGCAACTCACTTGCAATCTCCCCTGTGCCCCCTTGCAAATCCTCCTTGTAGCCCCCTTGCCATATCTCAGAGCAATTGCAGGCGTGGGGCTCAGCAGCCAGCCGCAGCAGCGGGAGGCTGCAGGCGGCCACGGTGCACAGGAGCGGGGGCAGGTAGGAATATATCTACACCTGAATAAACCCCACACCCCGCCTCCGCGGACTATACTCGTGCGCGGGATATACAGGGATTTCTAAACTTAAATGGCAAAAACTGCGGGGTATATTCGCGAAAAGACGGTATTTCAAAATGACACTATTGCTAAGTAGACGCTTGCATAATTATTTTGGAGTAATGGACATTATTCTGAAATAACTTTGCTGTGTAGACATACCCCAAAGGCAAGGACAGTGTGAAAAGGACAAGCAGTTGGGGTAGGGAAGAGATGACTGAAATAGGGACAGGTTAGCGGGAAATTTAAAATCAGGCATTTCCTAACTCTTGAGTGCTCGAGTTTGCAACCTCAGAAATATTATTGGAATGTAGGGTTTTTCTTGTGTGTGTAACAATGATAAAAAAAGAACTATTTTCTCACCCTGAAGGTGAGATCGTTCCTCAGAGTCAAAGTTGACACACATTGGCAGAGAAGTGTAGGAAAACAGTGTTGTTGTTTGTATTTTATCCAATCATGCACCTTTCCTAAGTATTAAAATTGTGAGATTTAATTTCAAGGTGCATGTGTGTATATAAATATATGGTAAATCATTTATAAATAAACTTAATGAATTGTAAAGCGTGGTTTAGTTTCACAGAACAGCTAAATTATTAGGTAAAAGTAGGGTTAATTTCCCCATCACTCTAAATAACTTTCTCTTTGTCAATACCTATTTAAGCAGGCTCTCCTTACTTTCTTCTCCAACTGTGCATTACAGTGATAGAAAAGATAAGCTGACAAACTAGACATCAGAGATTCACTGAGGACAGGGTGAGTCCTACATGATGAGAGGAGCTATTAATATTTTAAAGTGTTTCTTCCCTACAGGCACCAAAGTACAGTATTACATCACCACATATAAACTACAAATTGTTGATGATCAATAGATTTAATGTGCTGGGGCTTCAGGAGGATTGTTCACTATGTCATCTGCTGAACAACTGGATTAAATTATAGAAACTAAACAAGAGTCTATAAAACAAAACCTTGAAAACAGATTTTAAACACAGAATACCATATATAAAATCAGGAAAAAGAGGTCTCCATTATCAAATACTATAGTCTATTTAAGTCCTGTTACTTTGTTTTGCAAATAAGACAACTTGCTTTTTTAAACAATGTTGCTTACTTTTTGAAAATGCCAGCATAAGTGTGCTTAAGTGATAAAGTGACACTTTAAATTATCTGGCCTGATTTTTTTGTTCTGAAAAGCCAAAATGTGAAAATCTGGAACTACTCATTTGATAATTCCTAGCAACACTTGATAAATAATGCATGCACTTTCTCTTTCACTGAGACTGTCACTGACTGCTCAAAATTACTTTCAACACAGGACCCAGCCTTCTATCCCAGAGTGCACTTCAGCTCAATTCCAAACCTGAAGGGTCTTTCCAGTATTCAGCGAGCTACCATAGCAACCAGACCCTTGCCCTGGGTGAAACAGCAACCTCACAGCTCCCAGCCCGCAGCAGTCAAGCCAGAGCTGCCATTCAGAGCTACAGCCAGGTACGTTTGAGGAGCAACGTTGATCTTTTATGCCACATGTTGTTCCAGGATGCTCTGAGAAAATAAGTTTATTCTATTTTTAGTGTCTCAACAAATCCTAATGAATCCCTTCTGTTGTTCTGGATTTGGTAAAGCCATATCCTTGATTTTGTAAATTTAAAACTGCTGTGCATAATGCAGTGATAAAATGATACTGGTTTAAAGAAAACATTGCAAGCCACTTTTATTTATGTACCCAAAGGAGAAGTTAGGTGACTAATTTTAGACAGTGACGTTTGAAAATTTTGGGTGATGTTAATATCTAATTTTTCAAATGTTTTTATAATTATCTTATGGATTTTTTTCATTATTTAAATATCATTGAAGTAACATATAGTTCTGGACAAATGGTCAGTAAAATTAGTGGTTGTACAGCTAAATAGCAGCCTTGCTGCAGTACCACTGTTCTCCATCACTTGTGATAGCTGTTTGAGTGCAACACAATCAAAACTGAATAGGGTGAAGTGAATAGACAGAAGTTAGAAAATGTTGCAGAATCTAATTTACCATGTGGCACATTGGCTTCATTCCAAAGGAATGGATCCTCACAGATGTAGCTAGACCTCCTTCCATTGTTTTATGTATGCAAAGAAACACAGTTTTGAAAGGTTTGGAAGTTCAGTTCAAGTAAACATCCAAAAGTTCTGATACTCATCCACATACTCTTTGACAATCCCTTCCCGTGACAGCTCTCGTTTGAGTGATTTTCTGCAACCAGTTCTGCTCTGATACTTACATCACGCCTCCATTTTGTGATCTTTCAGGACCCTCCTTTCCTCTGGCAGTTTAGCTTTATTTTACATAAAAACTTCCAAAAGTTTTGCCACTTTATCTGAACCTCTTCCATCCATAAACAAGGATGGAAGTTTCAGAAGAACATTTCTTACGAGTTTTCCAGTTTTTTCTGTATCAGAAATGTCACGAGAACAGTGTCCCCCGTCCCCCCTAATATATGTTCTTCTGAACATTTTAATTTTTGCTAACAGCAGACATCACAAAGATGGGATAAACAATAAAATTGAGTTCAGTTCAATTTTTAGTTCTAGTGGACAGTTTAGGTTGGTTAAACCCGATCTGCTTCACAACAGACATCTAGGAAGGAAACAAAAGAGAAACTCCATCAATGCCATTGAGGCAAGCAACATGCAGATATTTAATATGTACTGCAAATAATTTGATTCATCTGGAAAACCTGTGAGTACTACAGAAAAAAACAACCCCTTAGTCATATAAAGCATAGCATCCTACAAATTTACTCTTCATTGATCATCCTAAACAATAGCTTTCCAAAGCAATTTTTGAAAGGATTGCTTTCAGTTATTCATGTAAATGTGATGGTAGGATATTGTTGTATGCCATAGTTCATTTCTTCTGCAGAGTTCTATGTTGAACTTACAAAGCTTTATAAAGTCCATAGAGAAAGCAGAAGATGTTGGATAATTACATGTGATGTAGATAGACATGCATTATTCAGTTCTCACAATGGTCTGAATAAAAATGTCTCAGTATTTGAAAAATGAAACAAAGCAGAGTCCGCTAATTTTTAGTAGTCTACTCAGGGCTCATCTCATATCTGGATAGCTTCAGGGAATTAAAGCTGTCTTGGCACATAATTATCCTCTGCAGCTCTCTAGAGGACATACCTGCCCTCCTGCTGGATTGGAGCAAGGAGAACAGGGATAGCCCCCAAAAAGAAGTGAGATTGAGGGGAGAGATTGAGGAAAAATAAACAGGGGAGAGGAATAATAAGTAGGGGCAGGAAAAAATGTTAGATAAAAGCAGTAATAATAGCAACTTCATATACTGCTTTTCCTCAGTGCATGTGAGAGCATTTCATAATCTTTTGCGTATTTATCCTGACAGTGCCACTGTGAGATTGGTAAGCATTATTATCTCCATTGTATAGGTAGGAACTGAGGTACAGAGATTCTGAGAGACTTGCCCAAGGTCAGACAAGACGTGGTAGAGTGGGCAGTTGAGCCCTGGTCTCCCATGTCCCAAGGTAGTCTCTGAACTACTGGTCCATCCTTTTCCTCCTAGACACTGAGACATGGAAGTAAACATTTTTTAAGAATGCAAGGATTTGCGGGTTTTTTGTTTTCTCTCTCTATATAAAACATTTTCCTGCGGGACGACAGAGTAATGTAAATATGTCGTTCCGCATCCTGCCGCCCTTTCTGCCCATAGCCCCCTGCCTCCTCTCTGCCTTCTCGCCCTGGTGCCATGAGGCAGGAGCTGTGCACCCTCCCCCCTCCTGGGGGGGGGCCCTTGGAGCTGCATCTTCTTCCACTCTTTCTTCCAGGGGGGCCATGAGCCAAGCAGTCTTCCTCCTCCCAGGAGGGGGGGCGGCCTGGAGCTGTGATGCCTCCTCCTCCTGCCTCCCCCATCCTGGGGGATCGGGAGATGAATGGCCTCCCCGCTCCTGGTGGTGGTGGGAGACTGGGAACTGTGCCCTCCTCTTTCCCCCCTCCTGCATCCCCAGCTCAGTCACTCATACATCCCCACCTGAGACCCTGCACCCCAGTCCCCTCACAACCTTGCCGAGACCCTGAACCCCCAGCCCCCTCATTCACACCTTCCACTGAGACCCCACACTCCCAACCTGCTCCTGCCCTCTCCCCCTGGCCAGACACCTACTCCCAGCCTGCTCCTGCACCCTCCCCTGCATTTGCATCCTCCCTCCTGGCCAGACACCTACCCCCAGCCTGCCACTGCCCCCTCACCTATGGCCAGACACCCTGCCCCTAGCTCACTCCTGCACCCTTGTCCAGACACCTACCTCCAGAGAAAGGGGGGTTGGCAAGCATAATGAGCAGGGGGCACAGCCCCCTAGTTATTTTTAAAAATAAGTGAATAAAAATGAAGGATGGGGGGAGAAAGACAGACAGACAGAAAGAGGAGAGAAAAGGAAACATATAAATTCCTTTGAGGCTAGAAAACATATATTGTTTTATTATATTTATAATGATATATTATTTCTGTGATTGAGAAGTAAGATCCTGCTTAAACCCACATAGGGCAGAGGCAAAGAAATCTAGTAGTATATATTTATGTATTTCTTCCCTATCATCCAACACTGAAAAATTTTGATCTGAAAATTTAATGTGAATAATTCAACATAACACAGTTACACACTACTAGTCAGACTGGGCCTGTTAGATTCAGTAGATAGGTAGTTTATACTTATGATCTATCTGTTGTATAACTGAATAAGCTGGTCCCCGACTTAGGAACGAGTTACGTACCAAACACTAGGTCATAACTCGATCTGTTCATAAGTCGGATTACATTCACTTACATACGGCCACGCTGTTCGTAAGTGCGGATTTCATTCATAACTCAGGTTCCGTCTGTAGAGGAGGTTGGTCGTAAATACAAATGGTCATAAGTCAATATGTTCGTAACTCGGAGACTGGCTGCATATAGAGGGATATTGTATGTAACCAATGCATTGGCATTTTTCTGGGGAAGAACTCTTGAAAATCATTGATTACATATTTAAAAAGATGAATAATAAATAACATACATGCACATTGTTACCTTCTTATGGGCATCAAAAGCATCCATGTATAAGAACTGCCATCCTGCATCAGACCAATGGCTTATCTAGTATCTTTGCTTCCAACAGTGACTAGTATTAGAACTTCAAAGGAAGTGTACAGATTTCTTTTGAGAGATACACCCCTATCTTCTCATCCCAGCTTCTGGTAGTCATGCCTGACTATTTTGGCTAATAGCCATTGATGGGCCTCTTGTCCAGGAACTTACCAAAGATGTTTTTTAACCTGTTGATACCTTTAACTATCCCAGCATTCCATGGCAATGAGTCCCATAGGTGCATTGTGTGGAAAAAGTATTTTATCTTGTTTGTGTTAAATCTGCTCTGTATTAATTTCATTGGATGACTCTTTTTTTCTGTTTTGTGGGAAATGGTAAATTCTCATTTTATAATCTCTCTAATTTCCCTTCTTTGTCTCTTTTGTAAGTTGAACAGCTCTGGTTTTAGTTTCTCGTTATATTGAAGTTGTTCCATACCCATCATCACCTTTGTTTCACTTCTGTGAATCCTTTTCAGGTCCACTAAATTCTTTTTGAGAGGGTGCAAAGAGAAGTGGACATAATATTCCAGGTGTGGGCACACCACAGATTTACAGAGTGGCATTATAATATTTTTATTTTCTATGCCTTTTCTAGAAGTCCCTAAATTCGGTTAGCATTTTTTATTGCTGCTGTATATTGAGCTGAAATGTTCAGAGAAGTATCCATGATGCTTTGAGGATCTCTTTCCTCACTGGTAACAAATAATTTGGAACCCATTGTTGTATATGGACAGTTCTGATATTTTTCTTTTCTTTGCACATTTTGTTTTCCAGTCACACAGTTTGTGAGATTCTCCTATAATTCTTCACAGTCATTGTTGGGATAAAGTCTTGAATAATTTTGTAACATTTGCAGATTTTGTCACTTCATTGTTCACCCCCCTTTTCCAGGTCGTAAATTAATATGGTGAACAGCACTGGTCTCAGTATAGATCTTGGAGGGACCCCACTTTTTACCTTTCTCCTTTGTGAAAACTAACCATTTAATTCCTACCTTGTTTCCTATTTTTAGGCAGTTACTGATATAAGAGAAAACCTTCCCTGTTATCCTATGACAGCTTACTTTGGTTAAGAGTCTTTGGTGAGGAACCTAGTCAAAGACTTTCTGAAATCCAAATACGTTATTGTTTCATTCATGGGTGCAAATGCGGAATCATGAAATGTAGAGTCACTGCCTGCCCTAAATCTGGATGCCTCACAGTGCTTTGTTATACTTCTCAACCTGGGCTGCTCACAAACAGGCCACCAGTATGCAAGTCACACTTTGAATGTTTGCTGCCTGGTCCAGCAACTCTGACACAAACAGGCTGTCAGCAACACACCAGTCATACTCTGGCTTCCCCTAGTCCTGGTTACCAATTG